TAAAATGGGAAACAAATAGTAAGTATCCATAAGCTTTAGATTAGCTTTTTAAGCTAAAGCTTATGGATACATTATATTTGCTTATTTAGCTTTTTAAGTAATGTAAGATAAAATTTCTTTTATTTACAATTTAAGTAAAATATCATTTATCTAATTAGTAAAATTTAATATGCCGAACTATATTTTACACACACTGTGAAGATAAAGTCCGCAAAAGCATCAGGGTAACTCATTGCAAGCGTTAGTTTCCGAGGTACAATTTCAGTATTAAAGAAAAAAAATACTTTCTTGACCACATTTTAAAATATGAGGTATATATTTCAAGCAATAAAGGTAAGAAGCCCGTTTTGATACCTCATTAACACAAAGACGATATGCACCATACCCACAAAAGTCTTAATGTGGCCTTATTGTCGCAACGTATTTTTGATTCAGGGGAAAAGCGATGTAGGTATAACGCAATGCAAATAATAGAAAGAAAATGTCTTTGTAATACTAAGTCATCAATACTGCTATTGAATTTTAAAAACTGCAAGATAATATTACCAAAACAAAACAAAAAAAAAACCACTAAAGTGCTTCTTTATTTTGAATGACATCTCAAATTCCTCAAAGATTGTTTACGACTCTCTAAGAGGCAGAATTTTTTAATACGCAACTCGGAATTCTAAATTGTTCTAAGTCAGCAAAATTTTTGCTGAATGTATAAAATTGCAAGATAATCACTCTTATAAAACGACATTAATATGCTTCATTATTTTTAATGGCATGAGTATTTTTAAAGGCTCTTTATGACTCCCTAAGATGAGAAATTTCTGAAAATCATCCTTTCTTCTTGGGTAACTAAATTGCAAAAATAATGCATCCGGTAAATTTCGTATTTCTAATTTTGGTGGCTGAAATTGAGAGATAATGAGTTAGTCTGTTGAGATTTTACTTTTTATGATCAAAGATTGGATTTAGATTTTTCATTTTTGTTTAGAGTATCTCTAGTAATAAAAATTTTATTCAAAATAATATATAACAGCCAATGAAGAAAAACTGATAATAAATAGTAGATCGTGGGCAACATATTATTACTTCCCGGTTTAAATGAAACAGTTTACCCTTTTTCTTCGATGATGTCCTATACCTTCCGCCATTCGAATTTTCCACTTCAGTTTACAACCACTGCAGATGGACAACTTATATTTCTCAGATGTTGGGGAGAAGAAATTTCATTACGTGAACATTAATCAAACTTCATAAAGACTGAACACTAATGATCTGATATACTACGCATATTTAAATAACATACAGTTTTACATACTACCTGTACGCGTTTATTTTAATCATAATTATATGTATTTTTTTTTTTTTTTTTTTTTTTTTACGCTTTTGCGAAAATGTTTGAGAAATGCAAATAAATGCAGTAAAACTTCAAATATCCTCACTAAACAGAATCACAAACCATTTAAATATTAGGCAAATTTGAATAATCAGGCTGGATTCTTTCTACGTAGAATAAGAATATATATATATTATGTGACATATATGTAACTTGTAAATGAAACTTATCTTTCAGTAGCCCCTTAATTTAATATTTAAATATGTGCTTCCCTTTTTTTATTCTAAAAATAATAATTGCTTATAATAAACTTTTTAAACAGTATCACTTGCATTCTTGCATCTGCTCACGACGCAAATGATTACGCGACGCTTCAGAAAAATTTTAGAAAATTATTAATTAGCCAACCAAAATAGAGCTAAACCAAAACTAAATCATTCTGGACGATGCTTTTACCTAGACACGTTGCATTCTCTCTCGGTTTGAGAATTCCAGAAGTCATTTTAATAAGCAGATATTATCGCCTTCAGGAAAATTTCCGTTTCTCGAAATTTCGTCGCAAGTCTACCTAATCTTCAGTATTCAAGAATTTTCAATGATTCTCAAATGATTTCGTTAGTTCCAATGGGGCATGTTGGACATGAAAAGTTGGTTTAAAATGATTTGATTTCAGTTCACATTTTCCTCTTTGGGTGTTAAAAATTTCGTTTCCGAAATTTGAAATTGCTTCTAATTGGCTGGAACGTTATGAAAGTCTCTGAGGAATTTATGTAATAATCATATGAGATGGATTAATTTAACTTGTCGTAATCATGTAAACTGGATCAATTTTGAAAAGACACAGTTTCGATAGATTTATTTTCAGCAGTTCCTATATTTAGAGCAGAAAGCACAAATTCAAATTAAAATGTAGATCCAACGAACTGTTACCAATTAATGTTAGAACTTGATTTACATGTTTTTTTAACTTTATACATTTATCTTTATTCTGGAATTTAGAATTCAAGTAGCCACTTAATTCTGGAATAGGCAAATCCTAATTGAAATACACTTCAAACCCAGCAAGAGCAACTGTAGAAAGCGGCAATTGTTGTGTCTTGTTAATAGCCTGACGAAACAGCTGGGTAGCGATCAATGTTTGTTCAATTCATATGTTTCTTCATCTTGGTAACTAAACGCGGAATGCCAAAAGGAGCTTTCCAAACGTGCTTATAAGGCCAATAATGGACTGCTTATCCTTCAAAATAAGGGTCTCCAGCGGGATCAGTATTGTCCTCCTGCGGGGTCGAGAAAATTTTAAAGGGAGCTCAACGAAGATCAAGGGGTCGATAGCCGAATATATACCGACAATTGATGAGCTTGATAATAAAATTTTTTAATATACAACATTTTCATGCAAAATGTGTAATGTAAATATTTAAAATGCAAGAATACAGAAAAAAAGCAAATATTACTAAGACTACAAAACTACCTAGGAATATGCATCCATTGGCGTAGATGGGATGGGACAAGGGGGGACATGGGGCTGATGTTAAGAAATTTTAAAACGAAATGTTTTCCATTCTTGGCACGCAGAATGGGGACGCAAAATCTTCAATTGTCCCCGGGCGCTGAAAACCCTAGCTACGCCTCTGTATGTATTGTTATATATACGCCACTAGCAAAACTTTTAAAAAAATTAATTTAATCTTCGTTTCCAAGGCAATGAAAATGTGAAGCGAAGAAGAAGAATTACCATCTGTCTTAAATCAACATTCTGTATGCACTCGGTTATACGATGGCATTTCGAAAAGTAAAGATACAATGGCTCGCATTCCTTAAAAAAAACATTTATTTATAAAACGTCAGTTACATCTTATTAACTGGATTATTTATTATTTTTCGACATAATCACCCCGTTATCCAAACATTTGTTAAGTCGGTGCACATGCTTTTGTATCCCACAGTCATAGAAGGTTGCCGCCTGTTGGAACCCAGCGCGCACACAATTTCTTGTACCCTAACTTGACAGTCACAACTTCATAAAGAGTTGTCATTGACACTCCCGGTATGATCTGATGCAATTCTTTCAATTTGAGACGTCTATTCGCACGTTGTTCGTCATGAACATCGGTCCTACCGTCAGAGAAATGACAACACCATTTCGTTACATTTTGTCGATTCACAATGTTCCCATAAACAGAAACGATTTCTTTGTGAATATCCGCTGGTCGCTGACCTTTTGCATGAAGAAAACGTATGACGGAGCGCACTTCGCATTTGGTGGGATTCTGAATCGGCGCAGCCATTTTAAACACGACCTACTCCAAACAGAATCAACGTTGAAATGCCGAACGACCGCGAGGAGAAAAAGCTGACGGTTCAAGGTTAACACCTGTGTTGTCAACTTGCTCACCAAAACATTTCTTTACCTCTGGCATACGGTGTATCTTTATTTTTCGAAATGCCTTCGTATAAACAAATGTAGTTAATGTGACACTTGAAATAAACCCGTCTTATGCTGGGAATTTCTGTGAAAGAGGAAAGGAAACTCCGGAAATGAGTTGATGGTTCAGCCTGCACAAACAATTCGTATATATCAGGGAATTAGAATAGTGTCAGATTATGGCAGAGCATGTAAGGGCTATCGCTCTTAGGGTTACTTTTGAGGAGGCCTTTTTTAAAGGAAAATGGCAGCTCGTATCCACTATCCACTATATATTTGGAGGAAAAACAAACTTAACATGCAATTAGCCTGTTATCCAAATTTTAACCCGGATGGAAATACGAGTCTATAACGATTTCACCGCTCTACCATGGATGAGCTATCTACTTTTTGAGAGTTTAACGAACTATAGTATCTTGAAATTATGTGTTAAAAACTTTTAAAACAGAGATCTTAGAGCCGAGAGACATGCAGACGAAATTCTCACTGCTATTTTTAGTACTTACTGTGCAGTTACTGCTGGTTATTTCCTTTTTATAGATAATAAAGCATGCCTTCACAGAAGTTAGTTAATGGACAACAGGCTTCAGAAAAATGTGATCAAATATATAGAATAACTAATATATACTTCCTTGCTTTAAATCCAATTGAGTATACAGGAGGCAAATGCAACCTACAGACTTTGGTTTCCGAATCTCAGAAAAAGTTTGGATGTTTGCAACAATTGTACCTACATACAGAGACTGGGTATATTCTGTTGGTCTGAAAGATCTCGTGGTCGGAGTAAAAGAGCAGTCTTACTTGTGGTGGGAGGAGAAGAAGAATCAAAAGCTCATGAATGCTACCTAATGAGCATTAAAACTGAAATAATATCTGATAGCCGCAAGCATTAGGCTAGACTTTAGTATACTAGAGTATACTTACACCGAAAACGAATAAAGAACTGCATTTCTTTTAAGTCACTCATCGATTTCAAGATGCAGAAGCGTTGCACGTCGCTTTAGTTTCGCTTGAGACGAAGATTGCGCTTGCACGTCGCTTTTCTTTTAACATGTTTTGTTCTTGTAATTATGAGAAATTTTTTTTCTAAAATTAAAAATTAATCGAAAATGCTTCTTTTTTCCTGAGTTCTACGCATAACATGCACTAACGTATGTAAATGTATCCTTTTGTTAGTGTACATAGATTGAAATTTCATTAAAAATTTTTAAAAGAGCAATAATTTTGAATTATATTCTTTTGTTTCAGAATATTTCCCTTTCCATCAATGGCATTATATCTAATGGATTCTTCAAAAAAATATCTGACAGTAGATACCATCAATCAAAATCTGAAACATGTAGACTTTCCTTGGAAATGTCCTGTTGTGTCTCGGGTAAAAGAAATCGAAGAGGAAATTAAGAAGGTATGATATGTGAAAGCGATACTGGATATGAACTATTTAAAACAAAACTGAAAAGTGTAAACTTCATATACTCACGTTTGTGAAAATTGCAACACCAAGAAGGAATCGTCATAATTGAATGCAATTTAATACACAGTTGAGTGGTAGTGGTACAAATAAATGATTAAATGTTCAAAGCAAACAAACAAGAACAAGAGATCAGAATCAGTATTTTGTGTGGCCACCACGCGCCGCAATAAGTGCTGCTACACGACGTGGCATGGAGTCAAACAAAGTTTGAATGTCTGACTGAGGAAGAGCATTCCATATCGTTTGTACGCGTACCCAAAGTTCGTCTGCAGACGCAACAGGACGAGGATCACGAGCAAGACGCCGACCAATGACATCCCACACATGTTCAATTGGCGACATATCCGGGGAACACGCAGGCCAAGGAAGAAGCTGTACCTGCTGCGCTGCAAAGAGGGATTTAACAATCCGAGCAGTATGAGGGCGGGCATTGTCCTGTTGAAATACAGCGCCTGGCAAGCTTTGAAGGAAGGGAACAGCTTCGGGCTGTAGAACTTCACGGATATACCGGTTGCTGTTCAGATTGCCCACAATTCGTAGCAATTGAGATCGTCTATGATATGCTATGGCGCCCCAGACCATAACTCCGGGTGTTCGTCCACTGTGGCGTTCGATAATGCACTCCGGAAGGTGGCGTTCACCGGCATAGCGTCTGACACGAATGCGGCCATCATGGTACCACAAATTAAAGCGGGATTCGTCAGAAAACACGACATGCTGCCAATCAGCACGCCAGTCTCTATGCTGATTGGCCCATTATAGCCGCAGGCGGCGATGGTCGTGCGTTAGGGGGATCCTGTATAAAGGAGTCTGTGCGCGCAGTCCACACTGCAGCAGACGTCTACGAATTGATGAAGCACACAATGAAACACCTGTAGCTATTGACCACAGTGCTGCCAATTGTCTAGAGGAAGCTGTACGGTCCGTCCGCGCCATGCGGACCAGGTGTCTATCATCGCGAGCTGACGTCACATTTCGGGGTCCACTCCCGGATTTCCGAGTGTCCGACACTCGTCCGTCCACTGCTTCCAAACGCGCATCACTGTGCTGCTTACGCTGCACACGAGAGGCTACTGCACGATACGACAATCCAGCTTCACGAAGGCCGATGATTCTTCCTCGTTCAAACTCTGTAAGTTGTTCAAATCTCGCTCTCTTTCGTCGACGAGGCATAAGTACAGATTGAGTTAACGTTTACCACTAGCAGATAACCACCGATAACCACACACGCCTCGCTACAGCCGTCTATTTATTCGGATCCATCAGCCGTTCAGAGGGCGATGCTCAGCATACGCATGCGCTACGGATTTGCAATTCTAATCATTTGCATATCATGCGCTACTTTGCATTTCCTGAAAATTTCAGCTCACTCGCGTAAGTCCTTCATGGTGTTGCAATTTTCACAAACGTGAGTGTATAAGAAATTAAAACAAAAGCATTGATAAGCAAAATTAGATGCTATAAAAACTTCAGCGATATTTCCTATGCCAACAACAAACTAAAAATATCAAAATACAATCCATTTTAATAGATTTATTAACCATTGAAACCTCTCGTTGTTTTAAAGTTTCGCTGGGAAAAGGTGAGGAAATGTTATTCATTGCTATTTCATAAAGCGCGTGTATTTTTGCTTTACTTACTGTATTAGCTTATTTAAACTAAAGCAGATCACTAGTGGGCTATCTGCCAGAAGGAAAGGACGTTTTAAGAAACATTGCTTCATATGCACGTTAAAGCATGGAGAAATCCACAAAATTTCCCTATAGCGAGCCCATTTGTATGGACGTGAACCATTGATTTTTTTAACAAAACTTATGGAAAATACGACGCTTTCAAATCTTATATATGTGACTAAGTAAGTTTCGATGTCAAAGTTGATGTAACACTGTTGCAGATAAATGAACGTTACATGTGCCTTACTACTATTTTACAACACCAGTTCTTTCTCGTTTGATTTAAAATCAAACTAACAAAAATGGGATTTAGTATATAAGGTTTTAAAGTCTTTTTGGAATCTGTGACCAACCTTTTGGTAGAGATTAAGCGACTTATCGCTAAGTCTGAAAAATAACCGAAAGTTGGAAAGGGTGTATAAAACCCTTATATTTAAAACTGAATATGTTGAACAGAAGGCACACCTGATGTTTGCAATTTCGCCAGCTTTTATGGCGGGAAACGTAAAGTAGAAATTCAAACGTAAAGCTAAATTTAATTAACTAGCAGACAAATGCTACACAGAGAATTTTAACCCTAAGCTGACTCGGAATCTCAACTGTTTGCAAGTATAATACTAGCCGAAGATAGGAACTCTTACCTTAGAATGGTAAACTTGAACATTTGTAGCATACAAATAATCGAGAGAAGTTAAACGAAAATGTTTGTATTTTTTCTACTTAAAATAACCTTAATAATAATTTTAAAAAAATAATTTTATTCAAATTTCGTTTTAATAACTGCTACAGTTTGTTCACTACAGTGGGCAGCGTGCATATACGTACATGCATACAAATCTCTTCCCAACGATTTACGGTCATTGCATTTGAAATCATTTTCTGTCTTATTTGCAGCGATCCTTACCATCTTCTAAATGGTAAATCTACAACTGATATGTACATACAGATCCCCCAAAATACCTCCATTTTGTCTATTGTGATTGAATTCATTTTGATGCGATTTTGTAACCTGTACCTATTGGATTCAAATGTCAAACGTTCTAGAAATTCCTTGCCAAACATAAACATTTTCAGTGATGTTTTGGCTTTGATGAGCAGTACATTTGGGTTTAAATTTACTCTTATCGGTAGATCGTTATCTACCCACTCCACAATTTTCTCAAACTGACATTTGAAATAAAATGTCTAAAATGACTAATTATGAATAAAAAATGGCAGTATAATAAAATGTAAGCAATATTATATTATGTTTACTATGAAATATTGTACTAACTTGGAAACAGAAGTAGCAGCCATTTTTCAAATAGCAGTGCTTTACTTAGTGATGCTATGCAGCCATCTATGATCGACAGTTTAAAGTTCTAATAATATTAATTAGAATGAATAAACACAGGAATGGAATCTGTTAAGGCATTTACAGAAGAATAAACAAATTTAAACTTCTCTCTACTAGAGTGGACATGATGCAACAAAGGATTAGCAACGTGGCATTAAACAATTTCAAAACCACACTTAAATACCAGTGAACTCATCCGCATTCTAGCGAAAAAAATGGATAGAAGACACAGTAAAAATTCAAAACATACAATAACTAATTATTAAAATTAAAGAAACCGTATTGTTATGTTGAAAATTATATTGAGTCTCGATTTTTTCTAACGTTTCTCGTGTACCGGCATAATGATTTTCTGATAACGAAGATTCCTATGTTATTCTAATATTTTCTTTGTTTTGTTTTCAGTCTTTGGAATCAGTTTAAAGTGGTAGATAGCTACATGAAGAAACAAAAGTATGATACCCAAATTCTTGTCTGTGGTGTTTAGGTCCGAGAGAATGGATCAATAATTATAAAACTTGACTAAGTCGCCAAATATCGCAAATATCTAGGTTCTTTTCGAACTATAAACGAAATTCTAGTTGCTAGTTACATCGAAATTAGCTATCCAAATACATAAATATTTAAAATAATTCAATAAAATTCATAAATTAGAATTTGGTTTCAGAACTCAGAACTCAGTACTTGAAAATTTTTAGATTGATTTTTCAAGATTAAAATGCACTATCTGCTGTTATGCAATCTTCATTATGAAAAGTACTTTATTTCTGATTTAAAGGCACTTAGAAAGTAAATATTTTTAATAGAATACCTCGAGAGGTAGCATTGCTATGCAGGCAAAAGTCTATTTTATGCAAGTACTTCTCAAAAGAGATTGATCTAGGAAGTACGATCCATGAAAAGACTGATTGTTCAATCTACGTTTTTCTACTTTCGTTGCTCTCGGACGTATATGTCTTTATATCCTTTTATCACACATACATGCACTTTGCTTAATTATTCTACAACATATGGTGTTAGAAATACAACATTTGTTACAATAATGGTTCACATGTGCATATGAATGCGTTGTAAATTTTATCAATAAACTAATATAAAAATTAAATTATAATTAGTAAGTATGTTTAATATGTTAAGTCACTCAGTTTCCAGCCATAAATAAAAGGTGAAAGAAAAATTAAAGATATTATTCCAGATCAAAAGTTAACACTCTGGGAGCACGTTTTGTGCCATATGAATGGAAAAGAAATGAAAAAATTAAATGTTTTTCGTATAGTGTAATGGCGACATTTGATAGGTATCATGAATGTTAATCCTAGTAGCGTAGCTCAAAAGGGCGAAAAATTGCAATAACTAAACTACAAGTGCCTCTGGTTGCATATGCTCAAGGGTCATGGTTCTTAATTTCACTAAATACAATACTCACTCCGCACCAAATAAGACACCATGTTGAAGAAGCATAAATCCTTTATGTTTTGCAAATATTTATGGTCAACTAATTTCGCCATAGCACCATTTATTGCTTGGTATACGTCTCAAAACGAAACAATCAAATGTGCTAATTTTAAACCAAAGTGAATATCTTGCATTCTAGAATCAATCAACGATTTCTTTCAATTACTTTTCTGCTTTTTTCATCACATGATTACCAAACCGTTGCTAGTTTGAGAATGATTCCCGCAGCGAAGCCCAAAACAAGTTTTAAACATTAATGAATGAATCACAGACACTTGCTTATATATATTGCCATTCCTATCGATGTATATAATAAAAGCATACACACATACATAGTATGTCAACTTCTTTTACTGCATGCTATTATTTAATAAATAAATGATAGCTCGAATATGGCGCCGTTGTTTGAACTATTTTGTCAGGTGCATTTGTGACCAAAAGAGCTCAAAGTGTTCAAAGAAATGTTTCTAAAATTATATTGTTATTAAAGTTGAAAAAAGTTATCAAAAGAGAGAAGAAACGGCTTCTGAAACAGAAGAACACATATACTAGGCATGTGCAACACAAGACCCGCAATTCTGATTTGAATCTGATATCACTGAGTCTGGCAAGTTTAGTGTTTAAATTTGAGCTAGAAAAATTCGTAAATGTAATGAGTAATTTTGTAAAACTTCTTTTATTCCCAGTTTCTTGCAAATTTTTTAAACTTTTTATTTTCAGCTTTTTGTTTTGCTTTGTTTACATAGGAACTGAACTTTAACTGCCGTCGTTTGACCAGTGGTCGATGGTCAGGACTTTATTACTCGTCTGACTCTTCTGCAGTTAGTTTGATCACTTTCACTGTTGCTGTATGTAGTTGCTAGTTTCCATGCTACATTAGCTTGCGGTTTACATTTATATATTTGTGAACTTGTTAAAGTACACTCTGAGAGGCTTAAATTTCAATAGAAATGTATTGACGAGTATTTGTTTGCAAAACGAAGGCAAATCCTCTTTGTTTGATGTGTTTGGAAGGATCACAACTTGAAAAGACATTACGCTACCAAAAATGCTAATTCCATCAATTGCAGAGATCAAATGATTTAAATACTATAAGTAGATAGTTAGTTAGATAGATATTAGGTAGATAGTTAGAACGATCACATAGTTATTTAGATACATTTGAAAAAGAGTATATATGTATAACAGAGGCTGTTTCTCCACCATAATAATGTAGCTAACAATTTTGTTCCCGCAAGCTTTACTGTTAAGGAAAATATTACGAAATACTCGGAATCCTATTCCGAAGGCAAGTTTTGCAAAGAATAACTTACTGCTGTCATGAAACTAATGTGTCTTGATAAAAGCAATAAAACTGAAACGATAAGCTTCATTCGTTGGACAGAAAATCAATGAATCGATTAAAATGGTCAGTGGTATTAAATTAAACATATCGCATCAAAAATTGAAGCATTTTCATTGCTTTTGATGAGAACATAGACACCACAAATTATTAGTTGGTTATATTTACATACGGATTTGATATAAACTTCATTTGTAGCGAACAATTGTTTGCTAACCAATGACAGATACAGCAAGGGGTAAAGACATTTTCTAGGAAGTAAAAAATGCTTTTACTAGATGTCGCCTAAATAAGGAAACGCTAAGCGATGGGGCTCCACCAGTGATTGGATCATAGTATAGGAGATGTGGTGTAAATAAAATCAGAGTTATCTGATAGCAAAATCGATACCGAAGATTTGTCTGTATTTCACTGCATTATACACCAACAAAAGCTGAGCACAAAATCAATCAATTTTGCATTTATGATGTGTACGATAATTTCCTATATAAATGGCAATGAGTCGAGGACGTTGAACCACCATCAGTTTCAAAAATTCTGGCTGGCGTTTATTCTGAGCATGAAGATCTGACATTTTACCCCTAAGTGCGTTGGGAAGTAAGAAAAAGATTTTAAAGCGTTTTTATATTTGAAATATGACGTAATTTAGAGCTTCTTCCGGTAGTCTTTCAGGTAATCAGTGATTTGACGGCTACAGATTTTACACGAATTGAATGACTTGCCACTCTGTGCATTACAGATCTCGTGGCATTATAAATCTACACTGAAAGTGAGAGAAGAAATGTAAGTTATATGTTAATAAGAATTTGAAGCAAATATGCAGACCAGTAAATGACGCAAATTACCGGCTGGAAGAATATCTAAATAGACACAACTTCCCAGTTGAGAAAATATATGTAGATTAATAGGGTTAGTATCCTAGAAATTACGTTAATAAACAAAGAATTTTACTGTCGATTATTGCTCACTTTTCTAAATACGTAAAAATAATATTCTTTAGCCACGTTTCTATGAGAGTTGCCCCATGATCGTTTATAAATAGACATATCTTAAAATTAGGTGGCACTGCTAAATTTAATTATAATCAATGGGTCTTAATTTATAAGCACTAATTATGACAAAATTATCACAGTTCTAACAGATACGTGAAGTTGGTAAGCCATAAAATAATATATCTGAAATGATAATAAGAGAATCATTTGATCATGTGTGAAAACATATTCTCAGAACTAGGACTAACGCTAGCATAAATTTTAAGATCAGCTCAACAAAATATGACACAACAGGCAAAACACTCACGGACTTAATTTTAGACTTGGAACGTATCACTTTGTTTGATAAATTATTCCCCATTCAGCAGCAGAGCAGGACTTAAAACCAATAAATACGCAAAATTTCTACATATAAAATAACGCGTATATTGGAAAAAGCAAGTGAAACACAGAAGTTCGCTGCATTATCTTTAAAATGAACTCAAATAATAATGAAGGAATTCACTTGAACTAATTGCTTATATGTTCTGTAGAATAAACATATGAAAATTTAATTTTCTTGTATTGTAGGGGAAAAAATTTCCTTTTAAAGAAGTCTTCCACCTACTCTCTGGGGATCTTCAAGGAATGGGACAGAAACCCATAACATTTTTTCAACAGGTAAATACTGCAGCGGTATAGAAATTTTTAAATAAATATTTAGTAAATTTTTAAATTATTAATATATAAATATTATAATAAATAATTAATTTTAATTGATTTATTAATTATTATAATATATTATGTAATACATGTACTTATTTTTAACTGTTATAAATTGAATGACATAAGTTGCTGCATTAAATGTATAGGAAAGGTTCATTCGCAATATCCAGGAGTTCGTTATATCAGGCTTCTACTGTATTAGATTAAAATCTTCGTGTTTCCTTTTACATAACTAAGACTTGTTGAAAAACGTCACTTATCATTATCTGTTTTATATAAATCGGCATTTGTAGCAAATCGTTGTGTTTGAAATGCGAAAAAGAATACACATTGAATTGAAAATTCAAAATTGAGAACTTTGTTACAGATATGGCATTGCTTCTTTATCTGTTTGTTTATATTTGTTATATCTTATTTTGTTGATGTTTCTATGCTATTTTTATTTATTAGCCTAAAGCATGTTACACTTGAACGGGATATTAATCTCGAAAAGTCATTTTGCGTTGAATCACTTTAAATGGCGTATCATTTTTCATATTGTTACCATCAAATATTATTGCCTTGTATCATATTTAAATTTAAAGAAATTAAATAAAGAAGAATCTGCATGGATGTGTGCATGTTTCTTTGACTGTGAGAAAACAACGATTCTAGATCCATTGAATTTTGAATAACGTAGACCACCACCCAAATATAGTCATCTGGAAGCCTGAAATTTTGAATTTCGAATTTGTTTTATTATCTATTTCCTGTTCTGCAAAATTTTAACAAAAATTTTTATTAACAAATTCAACGATTTCAAAGCGAGCAAAGAAAATTTTTAATTTTTTCGTAAGCGAGCAAGTTACGACAAAAAAAATCATTTTTATATCAAGTGAGCGCGTGAATTATCTATCGGGAATTCTAGAGATATGGTGTTTTAAACTATTTTGCGATTTTTCTGTTGAATCGAATGATATGTGGTGCAAGAGCCAAGAATATGATATTTAATAAAGTAGACACATAAAGCGTTAATTATGTAGAGAACAAAAAGGTTTTTATAAAGCCTTCTTAGTAAGAAAACTGAACATTGATATGGTGAACTGAGAAAAGACAGAAAAATATATACGAGCACTTAACGCTGCATCGGAAATTCTAAACGTATACTGCTATGCTGCTTTTAAACTTTTAGTCATTTTGATGTTGAACTGCAGATGGCGTAAGTGGGAACAAAATGGTGCTTATTAATAAAGCTAAAAAGACAAAAAAATGGGTTAGTAGAAGTGAGTGTAACAGCAGACTGCGAGCTCAGCGAGAGCTTAAAAATCCTAAACAAACTCTTTTAGGCGAACGTTAATATCTAAAACTTTTCAGATTTTATATTTATTTAATTAATTAAAATTTTTAGATTAAATATTAATTAATTTACTTTTTTAGACTATGAATAGAAGTAAAATCATTTGATCCAATTCGCCGCCCACCGCACAAAAAAT